GGGATCCTGAAGAGGGGGAATCACCAGGGATGGGGGTGCCATGGGAATAGGGGTCCCCAGGGATGGGGGGACCCAGAGATGGGAGTCCCAGGGGAATGTGGGCTGCAGAGATTTAGGGTCATGAAATTGGGATGCTGGGGGAATGTGGGGTCCTGTAGGAATTGGGGTCCTTGGAGAGTCAAGGTCCTGGGGAAAGGAGGATTTCAGGGGATGAAATGAATAGGAGAGGGTTCTTTGGGAATGAGATACTGGGCCATGGAGATTCTGGGGAATGTAAATATGGGGATAGAGGTCCCATGCAATGCGGAACATATAGGAATGGGACTCCCATGATTTGATTTCCAAAGGAATGGAAGTCCCAGGGATGGGCTGTGGCTGGACAGACTCATGGGTCTCAGGTTGCTTCCCTGGGAGCCTCAGATTTTTGGGAGGCTCATGGCCCAGCACAGCCTCCACAAGGAGCCAGCAGTCAGGGCATCACCCCAGACAGATTCCAAGGGGCTCTGAGTCTGTGGAGCTGCTGCAGAGGTGAGAATTCTGTAGGGGAAAAAGGCCTGTCTGTGGCTTGCTCAGCCGTGCAAGAAACACAAAACCCAAAGGGAGCCCAAGCAGTGAATCTGCGAGGGCCTCTGATGGTTTTCAGAGCAGGGCTGGCTGGAAAAACCCCTGTAGGGGCAGCTGCGGGAGAACCAGTCCAGAAATGCAGCATTTTATCATTTTCTCCCTTTGCCCAAGGTTCTGAGAGAGCCCCAAATATCCTTCAAAGACAACAACAATCTGTTCAAAAACCTGATCAGGTGTATCATCCTTCCTGTCTCAAACCTGCAGCCCTTTGTAACAGCCTGAGAAGAATCTTTGGGTTCTGACTACGGCTGCTAGACATGAGGGAACAGTATGGAAATATCGAACAGGGGCTCACCCACAGCCGTGGTGGGGCTGTGGGGAGTGACCCTGTCTGGATTCCAGGTGTTCCCAAAGCTGCTCCATCCCTGCCCTCCTCACCTGACTGAAAGGCTGATAGTTTACTGGAATTGTGGTGTAAAGCCAACTGGGGGTGCTGTTGTGGACCCGGGACCTGCCTGGGGTCAGGTGCTGCCTTCCTTCCATTCAGGATGCTGGAGAGCGGCCACGGCTGTTGTGCACGGTTTGGGCCTGGCCCTGGGAAACTGCTACGCTGCCACTGGGCACTGGGATCCAACCTGCTGCCTTGGCGGCTTCTGCCCGCTGCTGGTGGTGCTGCCGGGAGCGATTGGTGTCCGTGAGTTTGCAAAAGGAGCGATTTCCCCTCCTCCCTCCTGTCCGAGGCCGCCATGACCTCTGAGGGGATGGAGCTGGAGTGGGGCGCCCCCTGCTGGCCGGGAGTCCTCCCTGCAGCGCCCCCTGCTGGCCGGGAGGGCTCTCTGCAGCGCCCCCTACTGTATGCAGTTATAACTGCCATAAAAACCAACAGTGCTGAGCGGGAGGGAAAGTTCTGGGATTGTGTTGTTTGTTCTGTTCTGGTTTATAAATTTCCTAGTAAAGAGCTGTTATTCCTTTTCTTACACTTTGGCCTGGAAGACCCATCATTTTTGAAATTACTAAAAGTTTTAGCATGGGTCTTCTTTTCATTCCAGGACAGTTCCCACTTTCCTTGGGAGATATTTGTCATTTAAATGAGTTGCCAACTCCTGGGATGAGACACACATTCCAAGAAAGACAGGGTCTGGGATTTGGCAACCTCATGCTCTACCTTTTAAGCCAGTTTGGCTACCAAGGGCCCTCTCCCCAGATGGCACTTCTGGTCATCCGGCCACTCAGGAGCTGGCTTTGGCAGAGCATCACACTGTCCCCAGTGTGCCATGGCTGACAGACTGATGGACAGATGGGGCCCGATCTCACCAAAAGCATAGTCTGACCCATCCCTGCTAGACACAGTGTTCCACAACGTCTCCAGATATCAAACTTTTCTATGTCTCTGACATCCCACCCTGTACCATGGCCGGATCCTGACCTGCCCTGAAGAACGGGGAGGCTCTGGAACCCCCACAGGTCATTTGTGACATCCTCGTGGGGACAACAGGGCAGAGGAGGAGTTTGGGACAGGGCACAAGAGAATCCAGAGCCTCCTGAAGGCTGCTTTGGCCATCAGAGCCGCATGTTGCAGGTTCCTCTGGTTGAGGAATTGTGCAGGGGAGAGTTTCCAGGGTTTGTTCCTTTTGGGGACTTCCCCAGGAACCTGATCTTTTTGTGAAAATTTGGAATCTGAACCTTGTTTCTGTAGCTTTTGGTTTTATTCCCTCTCATTGCTGTTTCAGGAAATTGTTCTTCTCTCAGCCCTTTGGCATCTGTGTGCTTCCACAGGGAGGAGCAGTTTGTAGTGGCAGCACACACACGAGTGGGTGCCCATGGGTGGGGACACCCAGTGCACCGCAGTTGCCCCCAGTGTCACGGCACAACCTCATTGATGTCACTGGGATTTCTTGGTCACCTGTGGGGTCCCCGCAGCTCCATGCAGTCCACCCAGGGTTACTGGTGGTCGGTGATGCCTGAGGGCCCTGCAGGACAGAACGGTTGGGGGGACCAAAGGGGAAGGGGTGACACCACTGTCACTGTCCCCCCAATCTACAGTACTTACACTGCACATGTCTGGTGCTCACAACGTGAGTGTACACAACCTCTCCCTCGCCTGGGGGGGCCAGGAGATCGGGGGGGGGGCCTGTAGGGATAAAGACAATGTGTGGGAGGCTATGGAGACTTGTGTCATGTGGGAAAAGGGGCACGCATGGTTGAAGACCCCACTCACCTTTCCTGCTGCTTCCTGGCAGCTGCAAAGGAAAGAGGGCAAGGGTGACTGTGGGGTCCCAGGGCCCTACCCCTCTCAGGATTCCTGAACCCCCACAGGACCCTCAATTCCTCTCAAAACCCCCAAGCATCTCTAAAGCCCCCCAGAATTCATGAGCCTCCCCAGTGCCCTGGGCCAACTCAGCCTCAAGAATTCAAAGCCCAGCAGGGACAGAGACTCTCCAAACACCACCAGGGCCCCTGAAAGAACCCGCAACATTCTTGCAGGACCCTCCAGCACCTCCCCAAACCCTACAGGACCCCCAGGCAAGGTGACAATTCTGGGGCTATAGGTGCTACCCTATCATGCCCACACTCTGGGGCCCTCTACAGCTCCCTAGGACCCCCTGTCCCCCATTGTCACGCACCCACACGGTGCCACCGGTGCCAGGCCACAATGACACCCACGAGCAGGAGCAGGAAGAAAAGGGCCCAACCGACCCCTGCGGCCACTGCAAGAAACAGAGGGGGACAATCAGGTTCACCCAGAATCCCAAAGGTCCTTTGACCCTGAATGATCCTGTGTGACCTTACCTGTGTCCCTGTGTCTCTACGGTGTCACCAACAGGGCCAACTCTGGGCTGAGTGCCCGGAACATGCGGTGCCCATCATGTCACAGCTGGTTGGTGGCCATGCACTAGTAGGTGCCCGAATGTCCAACATCAACTGCCTTGAGCTCCAGGAGGGGACCCTGGGTCTCCTCCTGCCCATTGTGCAGCCAGGTGAAGGTGACAAGGGCTGAACCCACCTGCACCGAGCAGCGCAGGGTCATGGGGTCACCTGCACGCTTCTGGTGTGATAGGGTACCAAGGGTGATGGTGGCATTGGCCACGGGCACTGTGGGGACAGAGACTTGGCTGAGAGCACAGGGAGGGGCTGGCAGCTGGTGTGGGTGGGTAGGGACAAGGGGGATTGGTGTGATGGGGGATGTTGTGGATGGGTTCACACTACAGAGGGGTGAGACGACACAGGGCAGAGGCAGGGGACACAAGCATGGTGTCTGGGGGACATGCAGATGCCGAGGAAAGGGGACTCGAGGAGGCTGTGAGGGCTCCCTGTGCCCATCCCCACACTCACTGTGCACTGTGACGCAGAGCTGGGTGCTGCCCTTCCACACGGCCCCCCCTCGGTGCACACCTGGCAGCTGTAATTCCCAGAGTGGGAGACCCCCATGGCCTGCACCAGAAACTGCGGGGACCCCTGTGGGCCCCCCACCACCTGCCTGCCCCAGTAGAACAGGTGCAGGATGATGGCCCGGCCCGCAGGGGGCAGGGGAAGCTGAAGCAAGGCAGTTGAGAGTGAGGGGGGACCCCTGGGTGGGTTCGGGGGGACCCTCCAGCACTGGTCCCCGGACAAGCTCAGGGCAGGAAATGGGGGGCTTTGGGAAAGGTGACCCCGAATCCCTGGGGAGGCGTTATGGGGCTGTCAGGGTGGAGGCTGTGAGGTGCTCACCATGCACTGTCACTGTCACCAGCACTGACTCCTCCCATCCCCATGATACACCGTTGTTCACCCAGGCCTTGCAGTGGTAGCGGCCGCTGTGGTTCAGCTGCAGAGGGGACAGAGACAGCTCGGTCCCATTGTGGAGCCCTCTCGGTTCCATCTCCTCGCGGTAGAAGAACACCGGACTGGTCCACTTTTCCTGCCTCTACCGGCAGTGCAGTGTCAACATTTCTCCCTCCAGCAGTGCTCGCGCTGGCACCTGCAGCACCAGCTGGTCTGGGGGGCAGAGGGGTGCCGTCAAATCACAGGGGTCTGGAGGGTGCTGATATCATCAGGACCCCCATATTGGGTCAAAGCCAGCACACCAGGTTTCCCCAATTTCAACACAAGGGTCCCCCCATACTGGGATGCTCTGGGATGTCCCCCTGTGTAGGGGACACTCTCTGGTCACACCAGAGGGTGACCCATGGAGTAGAGCTCATCCAGCATCCTCAGGGCTCCTGTGAGTGCCAAGCTGGGGACACAAACCACCATCACCGTCTGAGACGTTCACAGGCGGGCTGCACCCACTTCCAGGTCTCTCGCACGTGTAGTTGCCTCTCTCAGTGACAGTGAAATGGTCGCCTTCCTTCTGCCCCCAACACTGCCCATGCTTGTACCAGGCGGTGTCACCAGCAGTCCCCAAGCCCTTTCAGGTCAGTGTCACCCAGTCCCACAGCACCGCCGGCCTCCAGGGCGGCTCCACCAGGAGCTGGGTGGTCTGGGCACCTGTGAGTGACAGGGGACACCAGCCTGCCAGGGCCATTGCAGGGTTGGGGACAGTGGGGTGGGGACCTGGCATCCCCCGAGGACTCATCAGTGAGGCTGAGGATCTGGGCTGGAAGGGAGAAGGGACAGGGCTGGGTGAGGGTCATGGGGACACTGTGGACACCCTATGTTTGCACTGCCCACCTCCACCAGCCCTAGGCACCTGTCCCCATGGCCAAGTCCCATGGTCCTGTGTGGAGAGCTTGGTTCAAAAATGGCTTAAAGAAAGAGGCCATGAAAATATACAGCTGATGGAAAAGTAAAAGGCAGCTGTAAGCAGCAGTTCCCAAGCCTGTTTCTGTAAATAACTGGGTTCTCAGGAATATTTTTCTAAACAGCAGGGTTCTCAGGCAGTCTTCTCATAACAGGTAAACATTCTGTCCTTGGCTGTTTTGGAAACAGACATGGAGGTTTTGAGAACCCTTCATATCAGGGTGAGAACACAAATCTTGGTTTCAAGAAACAAACCACAGGTATTGAAAACAAAAGGAGGGGTTAGTGTTTGATCTGTAACCAATGATGAGCTCGAGTTTTGCAATATGTATGAACCTGATTAACACGGTTATAAAAATGTGCATGATTGATCAATAAATCGGAGTTCGATGCTCATCAATCGGATGGTCGTCTCCCTTCACTTCATCAGTCCTGTGCCCATGATCCCATTCCAATGGCACCTTTCCCCATGGCCAGGTGACATCTGTATGTTACGTGGCCCCATTCCATGTCCCAGCATCCCGGTTCCCCTGTCCCAATCCCCACAGTCCCCAAACCCCAAGGCTCCTTCTGCCACATACTTGTCCCCACATCTCTATCCCCCTCTTCCTGTCTCCACATTCCAGTTCCCCTATTTCTGTCCCTAAAGCCACCCTAAATCTCTGGTCACACTGAGCTCCATGCCCTGCTCTGCCTCTGCTGCCATTGGGGACCTCAGGGGACCTCACAGCCCCCCTGGGCTCCCTCCCCACCAGTCTCTGCCTCACCACGGCCCATTCCAAGGGTGTCAGGCCCGTGCCCGGGGCACTCACCCCACAGGAGCAGGGCCAACTTCCCCACCATCCCGGTGTCCCCAGCCATGTGCACTGACTGTCACTCGCTGCTGTGGCCACCGCTCCCCTGGCTGGCAGCTCTTCGGATAAAGGGGAAGGAAGCGAGGTCACGTCCGTCCCCACGTGTAGGTGCCCCTTGGTGGGGGCAGGGTGGGGACAGGATGGGGACAGGCTGGAGACAAGGCTGCATAGTCTGGGGACATGGTGGGGGATGGTGGGACATGGTGGGAACATTGTGTTTCCACAATTTGGAGTCTAAGGCTGTGTAGGGAGCCAGGGAGAGTGTCCAGGAGAATGGGGTGCCCAGGGATGGGGTCCCAGGTAAATGGGTGTCCCAAGGGTTGGGTAGACTCAGACTTGGGCATGAGGATCCCAGAACAATGTGGCCTCCTGAGATTTGTGATCATGAAATGGGGGTGCCAGGGGAAAGGGGGACCCTGTGAGAATGGTGGTCCTGGGGGAATCAAGGTCCCCAAGGACAGTGGTGTCCCATGGTCTGGAATTACTGGGATGGTGTTCCTTGGGGTTGGAGATCCTGGGGAAATGCAGTCCAGGGATGGAGGTCTCTGGGAAGGGGTGGCAGAAGGAAATTGAGTCCCAAGGTTGGGGTCCCAGAGGAATGGGTGTGCCAGGGTTGGGCAGTGTGGGGGGGAACATTGGTGTCACTGCTCCTTCCCTGGGTGCCTCAGATTTTGGGGTGAGGCTAGGCCCCGCATAATCACCCCTGGATTGTTCGTTTCCTGGTCAGGCATTGCATGGGGTCCTGGGTAGTTCGGCCTCTGTGTCCTCACCTGCCCCTGACTTTTTCCTCTCTTTATTTCTGTTTTTTCCTTATTCTTCTTACTTTTTGCCATATCCCCTCACCCCTGGTTCCTGGATCAGACATCCTGGGGTGCACCTGAGCAGGGAACGGGTTGAGGGACCCAGGAGAGGGGGGAAATGGGGAGCAGGGGGTGCAGGGGAGGGGAGGAGGCTTTGGGGGATGGAGTTGCTGGGCTGTGCCTGCTCAACACTTTCCCTTTCTTTGTCCTGGAGGAAAGGGAAGAGGCCGTTTGTGCTGAGAGTCAGATGGGAAAAGGAGGCATTCTCTGTTTCTAGGGGGGCACATACAAGGGGCTACTGTCCTCTAAGGTCTCTCATCTGGAGTTCAGCTGGGGGATCCTGTCCCAGGGGGTGACACATCCTATAATGGGGTGTCCTGTCCTGGGGGGTGGCAGTTCCAGAAATGTCCCTGCACATTCCTGGCTGGGTGTCTGTTCCCAGGGGTGGCACATCCTGGAGGCCCCTGTCATTGCAAGGATGGGGCCCAGCCATGGCCCAGCCCCACTACACAGGGACGGCCATTGCCCAGCCCTGCTCTGCCCAGCCCCAGAGGGCAGCCAGAACCTGAGGGTCCCCCCTGCCCCCTTGCCTTTGATTTTGGCAGCTTTAGAGCTGCTGTAGAGGTGAGAATTCTGTGGGTGGAAAAAGGCCCCCCCACAGGATGAGCTGAGCTGTGGTTTGCTCAGCTGTGCAAGAAGTAGAAAACCCCAAAGGGAGCTCAAGCAGTGGCTCTGCGAGGGCCTTTGATGGTTTTCAGAGCAGGGCTGGCTGGAAAAACCCCTGCAGGGGCAGCTTTGAGGGAACCAGTCCAGAAATGCAGCAATTGATCATTTTGTCCCTCTCCCCAAGAAACTGAAAGAGCCCCAGAACTACTGCAAAGACAACAACAATCTGCTCAACAACCTGATTTGGACCCTCCTTCTTGAACAAAACCTGCAGACCTTTGGAACCTCAGGGAAAGAATGTTTGTGATCTGGATGTGCACACCAGAAGAGAGGAAAAAGTGTGGAAATACAGAGCAGGGGCTGCACATGAGGGTCTGGGGAACAGGGGTGTCACAGCAGGAGCAGGCAGTGCCCAGGCAGGGGAATTCAGGGCAGGCTGGAGTGGATTTACCAGGGAATCAGAACCTGAGGCACACACAGGCATGTCCACAGATTCCTGTGCACTGTCCCAAGGATGGACAGAGCTTCTCCCCTTCCTCCATGGGAAGTCAATCAAGTTTCAGGGTGGGAATGAGCAAAATGGGGAGAGTTCCTAAAGATGGCCCAAGAAAAGGCTTCCTTAGGGGCAGGGTTGCTGCCCAGCAGGCAGGGAACAATCCCACGGAGCTGTTGGACACTCAGGGAGATTCCCCACTCTGTGTTATCCACAAGCAAATGCTGCTGTGGGATGTACCAATGGGCTCCTAAAGGGTACTGAAAACTCTCATTTCATTGTGATTTGTTTGTGGTTTGTTTGTGAGTGGCTTAGTGGGAAAGCAATAGATTCTATAAAGCAGAGAATTTATACCTTGTCAGTTGTATTTTCACTGAGTTTTTACATATTGGGAATATAATGGTGTGGGAAAGACTTTTTGTTTTATTGTATGGCTTTGGTCTGAACCAACTGGTCTTCAAGTCTTGCCTGCGATTGCTGAGCCAGGAAACGGGGGGACCTGACCCAGGGGTGTGTGGAGCAGGGACACAGAGACTCCCAGGACAGCCCTGGGGTGCTTCAGGTATAGCGCTTTTCTGGGCTCTGCGTCACCCCAAAATATGAGGCACCCTGGAAAGGAGCTGTGACCCCCATTCCCACCCAGCCACTGCCCACCCCTGGCACCCCCATTCCCCTAGCAACCCAACCATGGGACCCCCATGGCCTTGGTCTCTCCTTCTTGGGCACCCCATACCCAGGACTGCCATTCCCCGAAACCACCATTGCATTGATCCCATACCATGGGCTACTTCTTCCCTCAGAATCCCTGTTCCCAAGGGTCCCCTTTTTTCCCCTGCACCCCCAACCTTGGGACCCACATTCCATGACACCAAATCCCTCGGGGGGCATGTTCCCAGAGCACCCCCATCCCTGAATCCCCACAGGCATGGAGACCCCAATTCCCCTTGACCTCCATTCTCCTGGAACCCCATCCTTGGTTCCCCACATCCCCTGAACCCCCTACTCCTGGCAACACCATCCCCACCATGTCCCCAGCCTGTGCCCAGCTTGTGGCCACCCTGCCCACACCAAGGGCCACCTACGCATGAGGTCGAGACCTGACCTCGCTTCCTTCCCCTTCATCCGAAGAGCTGCCAGCCAGGGGAGCGGTGGCCACAGAAGCGAGTGACAGCCAGTGCACATGGCTGGGGACACCGGGATGTCCGGGAAGGTGGTGCTGCTCCTGTGGGGTGAGTGCCCCAGGCACGGGCCTGACACCCTGGGGATGGGGAGAGGAGGGGGCACAGGGGGGCACAGGGGTCCCCTGAGGTCCCCAATGCCAGCAGTGCCAGTCCATGTTACCCACAGTGAACCTTGGTGGGACAGTGGATGTAGGGTGGCTTTGGACACTGGAACAGGGGCAGGAATTTGGGGATGGGGATGTGGGGACAGGAATGTAGAGACTGGCACCTTTGGGCTCAGGTATCTCTGGGCATAGGGACAAGGGAACTGGGATGCAGGGACTGGATGGGACAAGAACAGTGAGGATGTGGCCATGGGGATGGGGTTATGGGGATGGGATCATGAGCTGGTGGGGGTGACCTGGGCCAGCATGGGCTGTGTCCGTGGTGTCCTCATGCCCGGGGTGTCCACAGTGCCTCCATGTTCTGCCACAGCCCAGGGTGGCCTCAGTCTCCCTGTTCCCAAAGTGTCTGTGTCACAGGGATGTGCTGCACGGGTGGCTGTGACACAAACATGTCCTCCTGCCTCTCCAAATCTTTTGAGCACCACCCAGACACAGTTTCCTACAAGTAGTGTTGTCCACACGGGGACAGTTTGGGGACAGCCACCACACCCTGTACTCCAGGTGCTGCTGTCCCTTCAGAACCAGCCCCACCCAGCCCTGTCCCTTCTCCCTTCCAACCCAGACCCTCAGCTTCGCTGGTGAGTCCTCAGGGGATGCCATGGCCTCACCCCACTGTCCCCAGCCCTGCACTGGCCCTGGCAGGCTGGTGTCCCCTGTCACCCACAGGTGCCCAGATCACCCAGATCCTGGTGGAGCCCCTCTGGAGGTCGGTGGTGCTATGGGATAGGGTGACACTGACCTGTCAGGGCTCGGGGACTGCTGGTTCCACTACCTGGTACAAGGACAGGAAGAGCTGGTGGCAGGAGGGACAGAAC